TTGCCAAACAATATACTGCAAGTGAAGAGGCAATCTCATTTACTGATGGGATGAGTTGATTAGCATAAAGTTCCATTTAAATCCTGTTTACTATTCTAAAGCAATAGTGCTGATACTCACAGGTCAATTAAAGGACCTGCATATTATACAAGAAGTGAAAAGAACTGACACCTACATTGTTTCTCCTCTCCTTTCACAAGCAATATATCAGCACACGCACTTGTACAAACACAGATAATGACCCATTCTGTGGTGGTGAATGTCCAGGTTGTAACATATCACCAGAGTATTCAAAATCAATCCTCTAAGGACATCTGGGCCATCAATTGTAACACAGTAGAATGATTTGGAAGTCTTTATTGCTTGCCATTACCTCAGGGGAATAAATACAGACTGGATTTTAGCCTCAGCTGTTCAATAACATGTATAGATAGGGGGGTTGATTTGCTAAAACCGAAGAGTGCAAAATCTGGTGCAGCTCTGCATAGAAACCCACCAGCTTCCAGGTTTTTTTTGCCAAAACTTATTTTAACAAGCTGAAGTTAGAAACTGATAGGCCACCATGCACAGCTGCACCAGATTTTATACTCTCCAGTTTTAGTAAATCAACCCCATACTGTTTCCTTTGCAAGCAAATTTTCCCTAGTGCTTAGTGAATGGAGTGAAGCTGTGCCGACTACCATCATTCAATCATATGCAAGCTTCCAGATTTTTTTGGTCAATGCTTAATTGAACAAGCTGAAGTTAGAAGCTGGTTGGCTACCATGAACAGCTGCACCAAATTTTGCACTCTCCAGTTTTAGTAAATCAACCTCATACTGCTCCCTTTGCAAGTGAATTTTCCCTAGTGAATTTGGTGAAGCTGTGCTGACTACCATCATCATAAGCAACCAAAATTGCTGTTTTTTTTTAATGTTTCTTGCATATGATTGGGTACTGTTTACAAAGTACAACTGCACCACATTCACCAATCTCCAAGGCAAATTCCCTTGCAAAATGCAACTTCTTTTGCAAAATGATCATTCTATTTGCCTTTGGTAAACCAACTTCATGGTCTCAAAGGAACAGAAAAACATAGTGCGTGCAAATTTAAATTATGAAATCTAATTGATGTGTAAACAATAGTATCATGTAAGCTTGCCCTCTAGTATAACACAAACATCATTTCCTTCTGCCTCTATAAATAATTCAAGATTTTTCCGGACTTTAGCAACAAAGGTGATAACTGCTGACCTGAACTATGAAGACCATTTCCTAGTGGATTTTCTGCAAATGATTCCTAGAACATTTTTATTTTATATGTGAAGAGAGCATGGAGCTGAATGTAGATAGGATGATCTAATTCTACCACAAAGATGAGAAATATACAAAAGATGAAAAGTGCCCATTTTATATAAATGGTTTAAACTGTCACACTACATCTACTTTTAGGAAACAAAGATATTTAAATTCTCAGCATTTAACACTGACAGGCGCTGCAGCAGGTAGGTTAATTAGTCATACCTAGACCAACTCGCATCTTGCTTCCTTCTTCTAACCCTGAATAGAAGAACAATTTTACTGCATTTAAGAGCATTGTGCTAGAAAACCGCGCACTCAAAACACTTTTATATGCTAATAATGTGCAGTCACCACTGAGCAAAAGGCTTAGTAATGAGCTGCTGCATTCCAGCAGTACTGAATAGCACTGTTCAATAATACAACATATTTCATATTTATTAAAAAAGAAAAAAAAAAACGTTCCAAGGCTTTGATGATGCTATTTTTGTGAGGTCTGTAACTGAGCTAATGCACATTTCATTGTAGTTGTCACTGAGTCAAAAGGAGGAATACTGAGAACACTGGAGCCTTGACTTTGACTTGTGACTACTGACTGTATCTTTGAGATTCAGCCCACACCACAGAAAACAAGTGAGAGCCGAATGACGTCCTGAAGATGCAGGCTACTGACAATGAATTCAGTATAGAAATAACACGCATTGTTGTGATACAATCCAATTACCATAGGGGAGATGAGAAATACATGCATTATGTATAAATAAAACTCCGTTAGAAAGCTTCTTGTGCTCCCTTGTCTCATGACAAGCCGTAGGAGGATTAATGTCATTTGTGCTTACAGTAAAACTGGAGTGATCTCCTGAGCTCCATTGGCTTTTATGATTACATTTTAGACATATATCAAATATATAACATATTCTTTATTGCAAACTGCTTGATCCAATATCTGATGCAAAGCCGTATGAAACACTTACTCCTAGATTTATTATTAAATTGCAGGTATATTGAACACAAGAGAAAAACATGGGTAAACACAGAGAGAACGCTTATATGCAAGTGCACTTTTATAATTTCACGTGTAAAAATGAGCAAGAAAACCGTTCATGTTCACAACTGTGTGGATGTGATTTTTATTTTAGATATTTTGGTTCAGGACATGACATCCAGGAATTTGAAATCCTTCTGACGTGTTATGCCCATGGCATGCTTTTGTTTCTTATTTTCTGCTTGCTTGAAAAGGTTTTCCAAGAAAATATGCTGTAAATGTATGCCAACTGTCAGTGATCTCCTAGCCATCCCATGATCTCTTGATAGCCCAAATGTTAAAACTCAATCTAAGGTTTACTTAAATATCAAAATCTTAAAACACTTATATTTTTGAGAACAACTTTGTTTTATGAAATTCACTTGAGTACTGTCCGTGATACTTTTATATTTACGCTAACACAATTTTTCAGGATAAGCTTTTCTCAAGGTCCAAGCAGTACTGGTAACAGTACTCCTTGGACCTTGAAGAAGGGGACATACTCTGAAAGCATGTCCTGAAAAATTGTATGTTAGTAAAAATAAAAAAAAAAGTGTTCAGAATTAAGTAATCACGTTCAAATTAAGCAATCACATTCAAAATCATGTTAAACAGGAGTCAGTACACATCTGCCATCATTTAAAGTAACTCTGATTAACCCCAAATAAAGTTCAGCTGTTGTAGTAGGTCTTTCCTGACATTTTCTTAGTCGCATCCTACATTAAAAGCCATGGCCCGTAGAGAGCTTCCAAAGCATAAGAGGGATCTCATTGTATAAAGGTAGAAGGAGAAGGGTGCAAAAGAATTTCCAAGGCATTAGATATACCATGGAACCCAGTGAAGACAGTCATCCTCAAGTGGAGAAAATATGGCACAACAGTGACATTACCAAGAACTGAACGTCCCTCCAAATTGATGAACAGAAAACTGGTCTGGGAGGCTGCCAAGAGGCCTACAGGAACATTAAAGGAGCTGCAGTAATATCTGGCAAGTACAGGCTGTGCGGTACATGTGACAACAATCTCCAGTATTCTTCATATGTCTGGGCTATGGGGTAGAGTGGCAAGACAGAAGCCTTCTCTTACGAAGAAAAACATCTAAGCCCAGCTAAATTTTGCAAAAACACATCTGAAGTCTACCAAAAACATGTGGGAACAAGTGATATGGTCTGATGAAACTAAGGATGAACTTTTTGGCCATAATTCTAAAAGATATGTTTGGTGCAAAAACAAAACAACATTGCACATCACCAAAAGAACTCCATACCCACAGTGAAGCATGGTGGGTGGCAGCATCATGCTTTGGGGCTGTTTTTCTTCAGCTGGAACTGGGGCTTTATGAATTATGAACTGTTCCAAATACCATTCAATATTGGCACAAAACTTTAAGGCTTCTGCTAGAAACTTCATCTTTCAACATGACAACGACCCAAAGCATACATCCAAATCAACAAAGAATGGCTTCACCAGAAGATTAAAGTTTTGGAATGGCCGAGCCAGAGCCCAGACTTGAATCCGATCGAAAATCTGTGGGGTGATCTGAAGAGGGCTGTGCACAGGAGATGCCCTTGCAATCTGACAGATTTGGAGTGTTTTTGCAAGGAAGAGTTGGCAAATATCGCCAAGTCAAGATGTGCCATGCTGATAGACTCATACCCAAAAAGAATGAGTGCTACAAATAAATCAAAAGGTGCTTCAACAAAGTATTAGTTTATGGCTGTGAACACTTATGCAACCATAGTATTTTATTATTTATTTTTTCTTCCCTCCACCTAAAAGATTTCAGTTTGTTGTTCAACTGAGTTGTACAGTTTATAGGTTACATTAAAGGTGGAAAAAGCTCTGAAATTATTTATCTTTGTCTCATTTTTTTACATCACAGAAACCTGACATTTTAACAGGGGTGTTTCGACTTTTTATATCCACTGTATGTCACCATCACCTTGTAAAACAACCCATGCAGTTTAAAATAGAGATAAAAGGCAGAACATTTATGTATACAAATAAAAAAACATTATACACACATTTTCACCCTCTAAATAAGTGATCACATACTGTCTGGGATTTCATACAAATACATGGTACAGCAGGCACATATCAGGAGTATGAAATGTTGGGTTTAGAAATTCTTAAAAGCCTTCTAACAAGGGGGGGGGGGGGGGGAGCGACTAAACCAGAAGATGGTAGCCTAATCCTGAGCTCTGCACCACCGCTGGGGATACAGCAGCCTCCAGTGCAAACTAAGAGCAGCATACCTGCCTCCCAGTCCCTAACATACCTCAGGTATGCCACAAAGAACTGCCGCAGCTTTTCGCGATAGTTCAGAAAGGGCTACAGCAAAATGACAGCGGCCAATACACAAATCAGAGGCAGGCTGCCTCGTCGGGCGGATCCAGCACACAGCCACCAGCCTCAGGTAATACACAACTAGGGCCACATGCCACCTCATCTTCTGGCACTTCAATCCCCTCCAGCAGGAGCCCAGCAAAATCTAGGCCTTGCCTGGAACCCAGATATGAGGAAGTGGGTACACAAAGGCCCACATGGCTGGGAAGAGTCTTATGCAGACCCCATCAGCGCTTTCCCTACAAACAGGCAGCCGGTAACAGATACAGTCAGGGGAAGACTGACCATTTGGAAACTCGGGTACTGCCCGAGGGCCCGGGGTCAGTAGGGGGCCCATGAGATGCCCCTGGTACCTTTTTCATAGGCTTTTTTGAGTTTGGGCAAGGACACAGGGGCCCCATGATCCCCTATTGTCCGGGGGGCCCATGAGTTGTCAGTCTGCCCCTGGATACAGTGCTGAAGGATATGATGATTTCACTTAAAGCTTCACTCCACTCATATAATGGTGGCTTGCAGATAATTAAATGGGAAGTGCAGGAGCTGGGAGACCAGGGTGGCACATACAGAAGGAATAATTGAGGAGGTCACCACATCATTTAACACTATGGTTGATGCCCATGCTGCTCAAAGCAATGACATTTTGTGGCTTAAGGACAAAGTGGCAGACTTAGAGGACAGGTCATGACAGAACAACATCAAAATCAGAGGGATTCCTGAATCCATCCTTTCAAACCAATTGCAACAATATGTTCAAGATCTCTTTTCCACCCTGCTGCCATCACTGTCAGCCGCGGAGCTTAAAATTGATAGCATGCACAGAATTTCCAAGCCTGCCTATCTCCCCTCCAATGTTCCGAGGGACGTGCTATTACGGATGTACTTCTTTCATCTGAAAGAGAAGATACTGACAACTTTTCACCACATGGAAGGCATCCCTGAACAACTCTCCCAGCTACAACTGCTTCCAGATCTCTCCCAATATACACTGCAGATAAGCAGAAACCTTGCCACAGTGACAAAAGCTTTAAGAAATCACAAGATCACACACCACTGGAGGTACCCAGCCACGCTTAACATTGTTCATAATGGCACTACTGTAACAGTGTCCAAGCTGGAAGAAGGGCATCATCCCCAAAACAACTGTACCACCTCAAGACATGGTACAACCCGCCACAATAGCCCCGGATTGGAAAGTGGTTTCACACAAATGCTTCGCTAAAAAAAAATCCTCTGGAGGACCTCATACTACAGACACACTTATGGATCTCCCCCTGTGGTGGATGTGAGGTCTACTGAAAGAATTAATTTGGTTACTTGTGAGCCACTGGGATAATATGCTAAATATTAATATAAAAGCTAGCAGGCTCCTAATCACATCCTCATTTTTGTGAACTAGAATATAATATGGTAAATGGTGCTGCACTTTTACAAAGAATAACTGGTTGATCTGTGACAATTGTGATATAACTCTGAGAAGAAAATAGAATGAAGAAAAAAAAAGAATATAAAACTTTTTGAAAATTATATAAAAACTGCAATGGTATATAACTAAAATAATAAAATGTCCATACTTAGAGTGTCCCAAACTTAAATGATGAATAATCAAATATATCTGTGAAACATATAAATGTGAAAAGTCCAAATGAATGTCCCAAATAAAACTTGTCTTGGATGTTGTTATTATTAAGCGCTCACCTCTTTGTTAGCTTATTACTAGGCTAACACAGCTGTATAGTAATAAGGTGTTGGTGGGATCTTTGATATGAATGTAGTAATGCTGAGATCCTTTTAGGGCTCCTCTATAAGTGGCTGGATGGCTCCTGATGGAAACTGGCAGTCTCTGCCTCCTTGCACTGTTGGTGGATATATTTCCTTCTCCCTTAATTCCTCGTTAGTGTAGTGGAAATATTTCTTTCTCCCTTAATTCCTCATTAGTATAGTGGAAAACAGAAAAATATATAGTGCTTTAACGTTTTAAAAAACATAAATTTATTGCTACCACAGCCCCCGGAAGAAGCCACGTGACCCTGTGGCGCAACGCGTTGGGGAGGGGGCATCGATGTCACCACGGCAACCCGACTTCTGACACGGCGATTGCAGGCAGTGAGCGCAGACACTCGGAGGGAGCAGGTCATACCCGGACTGAGCGGTTATACTCAGCAATGCTTGTTGATTCCCCTTAATTCCTCGTTAGTGTAGTGGAAATATTTCTTTCTCCCTTAATTCCTCATTAGTATAGTGGAAAACAGAAAAATATATAGTGCTTTAACGTTTTAAAAAAAACATAAATTTATTGCTACCACAGCCCCCGGAAGAAGCCACGTGACCCTGTGGCGCAACGCGTTGGGGAGGGGCATCGATGTCACCACGGCAACCCGACTTCTGACACGGCGATTGCAGGCAGTGAGCGCAGACACTCGGAGGGAGCAGGTCATACCCGGACTGAGCGGTTATACTCAGCAATGCTTGTTGATTTTAACTGAATGTGAGTGCATAAAGGAGAGCAATAAATTTATGTTTTTTAAAACATTAAAGTACTATATATTTGTGACATCGATGCCCCTCCCCAACGTGTTGCGCCACAGGGTCACGTGGCTTCATCCGGGGGATGTGGTTGCAATAAATTTATGTTTTTTTAAAACGTTAAAGCACTATATATTTTTCTGTTTTCCACTATACTAACGAGGAATTAAGGGAGAAGGAAATATATCCATCAGCAGTGCAAGGAGACAGAGACTGCCAGTTTCCATCAGGAGCCATCCAGTCACTTATAGAGGAGCCCTAAAAGGATCTCAGCATTACTACATTCATATCAAAGATCCCACCAACACCTTATTACTATACAGCTGTGTTAGCCTAGTAATAAGCTAACAAGGAGGTGAGCGCTTAATAATAACAACATCCAAGACAAGTTTTATTTGGGACATTCATTTGGACTTTTCACATTTATATGTTTCACAGATATATTTGATTATTCATCATTTAAGTTTGGGGACACTCTAATTTTGGACATTTTATTATTTTAGTTATATACCATTGTATTCTTTATATTATTTTCAAAAAAACTTTTATATATATATATTTTTTTCTTCATTCTATTTTCTTCTCAGAGTTATATCACAATTGTCACAGATCAACCAATTATTCTTTGTAAAAGCGAGGCACCATTTACCATATGATGTGAGGTCTACTGTTCCTCACCCCCCACTCAACTTACAGCAGTGCAAACTGCTCTAGGGTTCAGATGCGAATTCATATTTTTTTTAGTTATAAGACTTACCATTGTGCTCCGCGTCTTCTCTCTTTATATAGCTTCAACCACTGTTGCCTCTCCAGTTGCACTTTGTCTCCTGCAGTACTGATATACTTCCTACGCTTTACTGCTCTCTTCAATCCTGAGATATCCCATGCCATTTGATACGCAGAAGCTCTTCCTGAAGCCAGCCCTCGCCTGGGCACACTCATACCAGATGCTCAACTATCTGCCAGGTCCTTCTTCTATCATCTATTGTTGGGGGCTCCAGCTGCTAAGAACAGAGATCTAGACTTAGCCCACTACTCTATCACTATTTCATTACCACTATGTCCTTCAAATTAGTATCTTTAACCACCTCCCGTCCGGCCGTTGTATATAAATGGCTGAACGATGGCAGTGCAGGGGCGGGTGGCCGTTTATAAACGGCCTCCCCGCCCCCTACTTGTGCCCGCTCCCTGGTAGCGCGCAGCACCGCGATCCGGTGCCTGCTGTGTCCTCCAGATACAGTGGAACACCGATCGTCGTACGGGACCTCTGTGCTAGGTCCCGATCATGTGATCACTGATTGGCCAATCAGTGATCACATGCAGAGTAGTACACAAGATGTCACTTCTGATATCATTGCTTACTACGTGTGAAACATGTAAATGATCACAGAGGTCAAATGGTACAAGGCTATTCACAACAGCCTTGTACCATGTGACAAGCTGGGAGCAATCTCAGCTCACACAGTATTTCTCAATGGCTGCAAGAATGCAGCCAGAGGGAAGGAGAAATTATTGCTTTTACAGCCTTTATGGGTGTAAAAGCAATCAGTGTAAAAAAAAAAAAAAAAAAAAAAAAAAAAAAATCTTCATCACCCCCCACAAGTGTACAGTAGTACAAAAAAAACCAAAAAAAACATAAATAATAACATAAAAAAAATAAAATAAAAATGTAAAAAAAAAGTTTAAAAATTATAATTTTTAGTTAGAAACTAATTTGGGTTTTTTTTTTTTTTTTTTTTAATACTAAAAAGATAACGGAATAAATTTTGGCCAAGATTTATAATGAAATTTTATAAGGAAAACACTTTTTTCAAAATTTTTGGACTTTTTCATTTATATGTAGCACAAAAAATAAAAATCCCAGTGGTGAATAAATACCACCAAAATAAAGTTTTATCTGTCTCAAAAAAATGCTAAAAAATTCATAGGGTTACTGTCTTGCATGACCAAACAAGGTACTACTACCCCGATGTATATTTGGCATTGTAATACAAAATTGATGCAAACTCCCAACACCGTTAAGCTACTCTATCAGCTTCTCTGGGAATTCTTTAAAAAAAAAACACTACTTCAGTGACGGACCCATGTATTGTATGGAACGTGCATAAAGCCTTTATGTGGGGAATCCTAATCCAATCTGGGTCCCGGGCTAAAAAGCAATATAATAATGATCTTCACAAAATCCAATCTGAGATTCTTACTCTTGAAATTCAGAACAAGTTAAATCCTAACCCTAACACCACCTCGGCCCTCCTTAAATTGTGTAACGAGCTACGTACTTTACTATTTGACCAATATGACAAATACCTCCGTAATCTAAAAATGCACACTTACGCAAACTCAAATAGGACAGGCAAATTTCTGGCACTCCGGAAACCCAAAGAAGCAAAATTAGAATACCTCACCTGATCTATCCTTTATCTAAATTTAAGATTATAAACCCACATGACAAATGCAAATGCCTCCGTGGATTATTATGGATCACTCTACAATCTTAAAGATGATAAACAAACTCATCAACCCTCCATCTCACAAATCAATAATTTTCTATCCTCTATAAATTCGCCAATCTTATCCCCTGACCAATTGTCCAGGCTCAATTTCCCATTTAAGTCAGAGGAAATTGTGAAGATCATAAGTTCTCTACCTAGTGGTAAAAGCACTGAGTCCAGACAGGTTTTCAAATGAGTACTATAAATCCTTTAAAGATATTTTATCCCCCCTCCTTCTTAAGATGTTCACCTACACGGCGTCCACAGCCTCATTTCTCCTGGAGATGCTGAAAGCTTCCATTGTTATCTTGCTCAAGCCTGGGAAAGACCCAACCACTCAATCTAACATTCAGATCTCACTCCTAAACTCTGACGTAAAGATCTATGCAAAGTTATTGGCTTTTAGATTTAT